CACTGTTAGTTTAAGATTTACTAGTTTGAATAATATGAATCCTGTTATAAGTTTGCCTAGTGTATAAATCTGTTTCATGCACTACTTGTTAATCCTACACTTGTTCTGGACTTAGCATCCCTATAATACTTTTAGCATGAAATTGGTTCATTAATCCTAGGTCTACAGATTTTCGTATGCTTGCTTAATTCATGTGTGTGGCCTACTTAACTGTTTTGCCTAATTGCTTCTGTGATTGTCCTAGGTACTAGCATGAATGTTTAGCTTAACCAGACTTTTTAACTTACTTGAACTATATGTTTGAGCATAACCTTGTTTGGTGCAGTTTTGCCTGTAATTCTATGTTCTAAACCTTGTTTCTTCTGAAATCAAACTGTTTTCACTACAACAAAAAGGGACTTTAGTGACAATTATTTAACGGCAATAGACTAATTTCCGCTAATTTATTCACAGAAGGCAAATATTAGCGGCCAATGGATATTAATCGGTAAATATTATAGTTTCAGTGGCAATTCAACAATATAGACGGTAAAGTTTTATTTTTTACTTTTGGTATTCCCTCCATATTCTAATTTTTCCTCTAAATTCTCTCCCGCGAAAATGTTATACCCTCTGGTACCCTCTCATACCTAGAAATTATATTAAAGAAATTCATATGGCCACCATCACTTTGCTCTCTAAATCAAATTTCCGGCCACCATATCGGCAACCAAATTTCTGGCCACCATCAAAATTCTTGGTAAGTATCTCTATTTATCTTTAGGTTTTTAGTTGGGTAGGTCTATGAGTTGATGAAAATTTCTAATTTGTGGGTGTAGGGTTTTGATTGCCGAAGATTTAATTCTTGAATGAGAATTTTCTTAGTATCTTTTCTAATTTGGTATTGAGTTTGTTTAATTTTCTAGATTCAAGAATCTAATTTCTCCTTCGTGCTTGAGTTTTCAAACTCTTGATATTCCTTGTAGTTGGAGGACCATCTGAATTAGTTACCAACTGAGCGCAGAAGAAAATTTGTTCGCTCAAGTTGCCATACTACTTGAGTATGTTAGTTAGTGTCTTTGTCAGTGGAAAGTTATTTTGTTGGTCCAATGTATATATATTGTGTGAGAACTCTAAGCTTTTGGTATAATGTCACTCTTATTTGTCTTCTGTATTGACATTTATGCTACTTTCGATTTTGGTTAACTCTCACTATTTCACTTGTCAGAGTAATAAAATGCCCCGATTCAATTATCTTTAATTATAGTGAAAGCAATACTAGGAAGTTGGGTTTACGTTTGTGGAATAAGGAGCGGAGCGAGCCTATTAGGTGCGGGTTCGGCCGAATCCAGTCACTTTTGCTTAGGCAGTGTATTTGTATAAGGTAATTCATTAAATATGTATGAATATTTAACTGTGAACCAATAACAAAGACGGGCTATGGGTTCCATGGCAAATCCAAAACTCATAAACTTCAAATTCTATCCTTGCCTCTATTAATGGAGCCCATTTAATGTCCCGCAATATTTGGTGAAGTAAAATTTGCTGCTCTTACAAAAAGCTTAAAGTAATAGTTTGCCATTGCTTTTATGTGGTTTAGTTGGTGAGCTAAAAGTTTGACCTTTGTAGTTGAGAAATTTCTATCTTATTGTTGGGTAATTTTTAAAGATGCATTTGAGTGACTGATATGTGAACGCACAAAAGCTATAATGAATTGAAGCATTAGGATTTATAGTAAACATATGTACATTCTCTTGTGTGCAATTATCAAGTAATTGGATAAAGATATAAGCATTTGTGAAAAACGTACCTGTTGAATGTTATCAACACTGATCAACAAATCGCGTTAAAAATAAAGTTTTTTATCCTACTGATTAGAGAGGAATTCTCGCCTAAGCTTTGTTAATCTGTAAGATATAAGTTCATAAAGATTCTTTGCCCATATTAAGAACTTTTTCAGTGATTGTGTAAAAGTTATAATCACGAGAGTGTTTTTAGCTAAAATTCGTACCTGGTTGCAATATATGTGTCTTTGCAGTCAGAGCTCATCAACTTTCTGATGAGAGACCGGTGACAAAATAAACTTGGAAAGTGAACCTATTTATTACCATATCTTTTAGACAGGGTTCATGAATCTCAAGTAAATTCTAGATTCAAGTTGATATAATCAGTAGATATTGAGTTTCTAATTGACCATGATCGCATTCCATTGAATTTTTAGATAGACTAAATCAATGCCAATATGTGGCATTTCAAGATCAAACTTGCCTGATGCAGAGTCTGACTCCGTGAAATACCCTCTGTTTTCCCAGCCCAACATTGAAGAGGAAATTAAAAAATTCATCTCATATGCAACAAGTTTGATAGAATTTTACCTCTTCATCACACCAAGGAGCCAAGATCAATTTCTTTTGGCTTAGTGCTTCACCAAATTCATCCCAGGTCTTTACAACCTGAACACAATCATCCCGCTTTTGTTTTGCAACATCAAATGGATTTTGTTGGATAGAGGTGAGCACATCTTTTACTTGTTCGGCTAAATTGGCCACAGGAATATCAGTTTTGGCTCCATTGTCACGTCGAACAGCTCCTAACTAGGAAAATTATTTCAGAGCTTTGGATAAAAAAAACAATAAAATCAAAAACCACATTTTACTTGGCTGCTTTCAGAAAACAAGCAATTAACACCATAGCACACAATGTTTCTACTTTTTCCTTTCATGAACAACTGACTCAGTGGAGAGCAAAATATAATCCGTACCTGATTATTTGCAAGATCTTTTGGTCCTATTTCAATCCTAAGAGGAACCCCTTTCATTTCCCAATACTTCCAGCCAGGTGATGAGCTTTGACTGGGTTGCAATTGCTTAAACATTTAGATTCAGTTAATTACAAGTTAGAAACCTCTCTGAGATATATTGCTAAGTCTTTTTTTTGAGATGGTAACAGATCCAATATATTAATAAATCATCAGCACAAATTTTGTACTGGAACCAAGATTACATCAAGAAGAGCTAGGTCAAAACAAAATTAAACTTCCTTGTTCTTCTTACAAGGAGCCTAAGACTTCTATGATTGAATCCTGGTCATCTATATATTCTGCTTTACACCAAAAACTAAAAAGAAGAATAGAATTCATTTTGATCTTCTGTACAGGGCTACTTATATCTTCAAAACACCTTGCATTCCTCTCCTTCCAAATTGTCCACCAAATGGCTGCTGGGACAATTTTCCATCTATCTTTGTTAGATGTAGAGCTCCCCCCC